TGGCCCCCCGCCCAGGGCCTGGTGGGCCATCAGCACCCCGTACATGTTTGGTAAACGAACTCCAAGTTCCAGCAGTCATTACAGGGCTGTGTTAGAGGCACCAGAGTTTCAATTCACTTGCTGTTATGGAACAACCTTCACCTTAGAACCCAGTTGGACCCACACTGGACAAATAACAAAAGCTATTAACCTCAAAGGTGCCCAGGAGACATGGAAAGTGCTAAAGGTAGCACATCAAACAGCGGTGCCATTGGTGACATTCACATGTGACTCCATACTGAGGTTCCCCACCCCGTGAAACAGCTGTCACCCCGTCTTTACAGGAGATGAACCTAGCCCTGTGAGATGGGCGAGGCGACTTGCCCAACGTCACCTGCTAGAAAGCAGCAGAACCAAATGACAGCATCTAGTGTGGGGTCTGGCACTTAGTACGTGTTCAGTAAACATAATGAAAGAGTGAAGGAAAGAACGAATGACCGGGGTGTCCCGAGTCCCAGCCTGACACTCTTTGTACCTCGCTACCCCAAAACTGATCCGTCCCGGGACAGCTCAAAATGTGGTTTGAACTTAAGAAAGACTTGCAGAAAGGTGAACCATTTCCTGGAGCATGCTCATGGTTCTAACAACTCCCAAATCCTGCTGGTAGGTGCTGTTTATCAGCTAAGAGAGGATCTGAGAACACCCCTCACTACCTTTATTTTAACATGGCCTCACTCTGGAGGAGAAAAACCTCCTCTTACAAATAAGGGAAAAACGATAGTGCGTACTCTTCGTATTTCAGAAATGTTTCAAAGCCAATGGCTAGTAAGGCAATGTGCAAACCCTGCCAGGATATATTACCGGTGCCTTCCTTTAGTCTACTGTGCCTCTCCCCGACCTCCCAAAAGACAGGAAAAAGAAAAGAAGAAAAAAGGCTGGGAGCCGGCCCGGTGGTGCAGTGGTTAAGTTCACACGGTCCACTTCGGTGGCCCGGGGTTCACCGGTTTGGATCCTGGGTGCGGACCTACACACTGCTCATCAAGCCATGCTGCCACAGGCATCCCGCATATAAAATAGAGGAAGATGGGCACGGATGCTAGCTCAGGGCCAGTCTTCCTCAGCAAAAAGAGGAGGACTGGTGGTGAATGTTAACTCAGGGCTAATCTTCCTCAATGAAAAGAAAAGAAAAGAAGAAAAGAAAAGGAAAGAAAAGAAAAAGGCTGAATTTCCCAGGTTTAGATTATCTGTCACTTTAATTAAGGAAGAATAAATGGGTCACCCCTGTCAGCTTACAAACCACAGCCACATCAAATGGTGCTCCTTTAGAACAAACCCGATCACTGTGGTGAGGCTTTACTGTAACTGAATAAAGACAAAAGCAGAGCTCAGGCAGCATTTGGCCAAGGTCACTCTGAAAATCAATGGCAGCGCTAGCGTCAGACCTGGGAACCCTTGACCCTGGTTGCTCTGCCCAGCTGGTATCCAGGCTGCCTCCCACCAGGAAACCTCGGCCAGCTGGTAGGTAATTATATGTGCTAATATTCACTGACACTCTGGCTGCCAACACCATGTGCCAAGTTCTTGCATTTACTAGAACGCCAAACTGCCCCCATCTTTCTAGGGCTGTTTATTTAGAGAGGGGAGCTCAGCTCGGACTGACTCAGAACTAGAAACCTGCTTGGCAACATCGAAGACGAATGTCTGGGAGGGCAGAGACAAGGGGGCTGTATTTTCACCTCCACTCGCCAAGTCCTCATTCTAGACCTCATGTGCCTCACTGTAGCTGTGTGGCCTTGGACAAGTTTCAGAACCTCAATGAGCCTCAGCCTTCCTCTCTGTAAAATGGGATAATAAAGTCTGTCTTGCACAGTGATTGGAGACAGCTCACCCCGAAAACTGTTGGTGCAGGCATGCTGTCGGTGTCTGATACCTACTTGTTGGATATCTAAATGAACAAAACTTCTTTGATCTTGTTTCCTGCCAACTGGAGACAGCAATTCCTCCTTCATGTCACATTAAATGAAATTGGAAAACACATGTATAGACGTATCTATATGCAGCCTGATCTGAAAAATAGGTACTCTTTTTTTTTAAAAAAAAAAAACTGGTTCATTCTTTCATGTACTGAATTTAGTCTAGTTAATGGAACTTGTATGTCTTATGCTTCTAATTTACAGAAGCTAACAACATACTATAATTTAGTTTTCTCTGTGAAGATGATTTCCAAACTTGATGAAAATTTAGCTGGAACAAAGTGTGTTTTCTACACACAAACCATCATTCTGGAGTCAAATGAGTCAAGAATTGAGAGAGAAATGACAAAAAATAGCCTAGAGACTCAAAGGCAAGTGACTTTTTTTTGTTTCCCTGCTCTGAACGCATCCTTCACACGCACACCCTGAATGCCAAGGGCTGAGGCCGCACACTGGACGGACGCTGAAATTGAATTTCCTTGGTGTGATTGTCAGAACGACACACACTCATCACTAGACCGTGTGGTAAACGCTCCATGCTGGAGGAGGGGCGTAGAGATGGACAGTGGCCCTTGATGCTCAAGTTCAGTCTATGGCGTTAGGATAAGAGATAGAAGCATCTGGAAGACAGTTATCAGCATCCTTCAAGAGGGCTGAGTCTAGGTCTGGGGCTGGGGACCAAAAAAAATTGCTTCTATCTTTGGGTGTCTGATATCTGGCTTCTGACTCTCATTTAATATCTCTATGATGTTGGGAGAGTTACCTAATCTTGCTGGGCCTTGATTTCTTCCTCTGTAAAATGGGACAACACCACTTTCCTGGATAACAACAGTGTTCGTTTTGAGGCTCACACGAGAAAGTGTCAAAAGCCTTTAAGGATTATCAAGCAGTACCTGGGGAGAAGCCTCCATCACTATGTCAGGGATAGTCGAGACTTGGGGCAATTTTAGCTAATTTTAGTTAAATTTAATTTTAGCAAATTTAGCTAGCTAATGACAACCATGTCGTGAGCACTTCTTTCCTTTCAGGCATTGTCATGACCCCACTTTGGGCTTGCACCAACCTCTGATGGGGGCTGCTATTATTATGTCCATGTTACAGGTGGGGAAATTAAGGTCCAGAGAGGTTAGCTAGCTTGCCCAAGGTTGCACAGCTAATTAACAGTGGGGGTGGGATTTGGACCCAGGCAATGGGACTCGGGAGGCCAGTATCCTAACTTTATGCTGTGGGGTCTCCTGAGAGCATGACACACAAGGAGAACCTTGTCAGCAAGAGTTAAGGAAACATGGTATTTCCCCAGCAGCCAGCAGCCTTAACTTCTGATGCGAGGAGAGCTGGAGTGCCAAGGTCGTCCCAGGGTGCAGTTGGGGACAGTGAGCAGGGGTGGGGGGGAGCGAGCCTGCAGGTAGGGTGCCACGTCCAGGACACAGGAGCAGGAGAGTCTGGTGGGCAGAGGGATGGGCCTTGGAGTCTGAGCCACAAGGATCTTGGCCCTGGCACCTCCACCTGCAAACACCAACAGTTGCCTAATCTGTAAATGGCAAGATTGGACGAACCTCAGAAAGCTGGCGGGGATTAAAGTCAATTTCTTGTTGCAACTGATAACTGGCACATAGTAGGTGCTCAATAAATGGCTGCTCCCTAGCCTCTCCTTGAGACCTGCCAATACTCTAGGTGACAAAGTGTAAAGGATGGTGGCACAGCCAAAAACCACCCAGACAGAAACCTGAGGATAGGACAACTCAATGGTCACACCTATGGGCCTGTGGGTCTGGGCTGCCTCAATTCATATCCTGGCTCCAACACTTACAAGTCCCATGACCCTGGGCACATTACTTAACCTATCTGTGCCTCAGTTTCCTTACCTGTAAAGTGGGCATAACAAAGGTACCCACGTCACAGGGTTTGGGGAATATTAGATACAACTGTGTAGAGTGCTCAGAGCAGCCCCCAGCGATGGAAGCACTCAATAAATGTTAGCAATGATGACTTCCATCAGCCCCTGCATGTTCTTGGGCTGGGGGGCATCTCTGGGCTTCCAGTAGGCTATGCTTATACTGCAAACCCTCCATTTCCTTGTGGACTCCCGGTCAGATCCTGGGAGGGCGGAACTCCTGCAGCCTGGCCACGTGATTGGGCTGGATGAACTTTAGAGGAGGGGCAGTTTCTCAGGTGGGGCGTGGGGATGTGGACGTGGTGACAATGACCACCTGGAAAACAGCACAGGGAGTCAGGAAAGTGCACACACGTGCGCGCACACACACAAACACCCCCCTCAGTTTCTGTGCTTTTTGCATTTAGAGCCAGGTTTTGACTCAGCTGAGTCGTTGTTTTATTTCTTCTGCTTTGGATAAAAATGAGCCCCCATGCATGGGGTCCCTGAGGGGCCCATGATAATTCCCACGCTGATGGAGGAGAGACCTGGATACAGGTGTGAGAATTAGAGAGTGGGGTTTTGGGGGCCTTGGCTACAGCCCTGAAGCTCTGGGGGCCTCAGGTTCCCCACCTGCTAATGAGATCACAGTAGGGCGTCCAGCTTGTTTGCAAGAATTCCCTCCCCACGCATGTGAAAAAGCAAGGCACTCTCTTATCCAGCTAGAAATTTTACTCTGCAACGTTTTGTTGGAAAACTACAGGAAGACCATAATTTACTTCTTGTGCAAAAGGTAGGTGGGTGGCGAGAGAGAATACAAATAGAAAGAATAGGAATAGGAACAAGGCACACTCATATCTTGTAATCGAAGAATCGGAGCATTCCCACATAGCCTGGCTTCTGCCCCCCATCCCTGGAACTCGAGGGACCTGCTTATTGTTAAGCCCGCGTCTGTTTTTAAACCAGCGGAGCCCGGATCTCAGCAGGGGCAATGTCTGCTGGGCGCAAACCGCCCGGGAGGACTCGGATTGGAGGGGAGGATGCAATGGGTGCGGAGCCTGCGGCCTGCCCGCGGCCCTCCCTCCCGGGGGCGGGCTGGGCGTGCCAGACAGCGCGCCCCCTCCTGCGCCCGGCCCGTCGCCGTCCCATCCCCGGAGCGCGGTCCGCGGCCCTACCTGAGCTGGCGCGGCTCGCAGTCCACGCCGGGCAGCAGCAGCCGGGCCGCCTGGCGGACGTCGTCGCTGTCCATGGAGAAGCTGCGGCGGTGGCCGGCGTGCGCCACGGCCACCCGGATCCACTCCATGAGCGGCGGCAGCACGAGGAAGGGCCTGCAGCGGGGGAGCGATGGAGACGCGTTAGGGCGCCCGGCGCGGGGCTGCCGGCTCGGCCCCACCCCCTGCTCGTCGCCGATCCCCCCCACCCCGCTTTCCCTGGAGACCCTGCCTCTGTGTTCCGGAGCGGTGGGAGAGCCTTTGGAGACATCCCGAGCGCACCGGAGAGCTCGGGGCAGGTTCTCCCGAGTCTTTGGGCCTCAGTTTCCTCATCTGTAAAAGGGGATAGTGTGACTGTGAACGGATACGATGTGACTGTCCTGCTAGTATTCTCTCCCTCGGAGATCATGTGGACCTAAATGAGATGAGTCACTTAAAGCGCCAAGCACAGAGGCTGGTGCTCAGCAGAGACCTCCCCAGACGCCTAGGGTTATCAGTACTTGGGGCTCCCCATTCTGGACCCACTCCTAAGGTGTTCTCCAACTCCCCCTTCCCCACCCCAGCCTGCTCCCTGTCATCCTTCTGGAGCTTTCCCAGGCCTCAGCTCGGCCCAGGCACCCTGCTGCCAACAAGCTTTTGCACCTGGAAAAGGCGCAGAGAGAGCCAAGTCAACAGGCAGCCTTCCCGGAGAGCCAGGCCGGCAAGCAGCCCCGTCAAGCCACCAAAGTGGGGTTTTGGGAGCCTTGGCTACAGCCCTGAAGCTCTGGGGGCCTCAGGTTCCCCACCTGCTAATGAGATCACAGTAGGGCGTCCAGCTTGTTTGCAAGAATTAACTGAGACAACGCCTATGGTTGGACTATGACTTTCTAAGTCTAATACATTTGTGCCATCTTTCTGTTCTTCCAGTGATGAGGAGAAACTCTGTCCTCACATTAGGATTATGGGGGGAGGGGAGGAGCTTTTGAAATATACTGACACTGGATTCCTAGCCCAGGAATTCTGACTTAATTCATCTAGGATGGAGGAATTAAAACCTCCCCTATGTGAACGTATTGTGCATCGGAATTATGTGGAGGGCCTGCTAGCATACAGATTGCTGGGCCCCACCCCCAGAGGCTCTCACTCAGTAGATCAGGGGAAGTGGCCAAGAATCTGCATTTCCAATAAGTTCCTGGGTGATGCTGGTGCTGCTGTGCTGGGGGCCACACTCAAAGAACTTCTGCTCTGAAGTATTGTTAGAGGGCCTGGGAATCAGCCGGTGTGTGTGTGTGTTAAAACGCAGACTCTCTCCAGAGATGCTGATTGCACAGTCCACGAACATCATTTTAATAAGCAGCTCCTATGATACTGATCTAGGTAGAACAAGGACCACACTTTGAGAAACACACTCAAAAAGGTTTCCTGGCATTCAGCAGGGTTGCAAGTGCTAGGGTGCAAAGTTTAAGGAGGCCAGGTCATGCAAATATGTTCTAAGCACTTCTCCTGCCTCACCCTGGCCCTGGTGCTGCCATTCAGTCTGGCAGGGTTGCCATGGGAGTGACAAGAGGGTGGTGAATAGAGGGTTTACGGGATGCAGATGTCAGGAGCTTCCCACCACGTTTTTGATGGCAGGTTCCAGTTTTCCTAGGGAGCAACCTATTTCTCCGACGTTAATATTCAACAGCTAGGTCTTTTACATTCATCTCATTTAATCCTATTCATGATCTCATCTAAATGCTTAGGCCCAACCTACAGGCTCGTTATGATTATTGCCCATCTTCTAGACCAGGAGAATGAAGTTTATTGAGGTTGTCACGTGCCCTGGATCACAAGGTTAGCAAGTATGAGAGCTGGGAATGAGACCCGAGTCATTTGCCCATGTGATACTGACATCCTCTTGTCCAACTTCCCAGCATGCACTCTGTTACCCAGCATGCACTTGGTACCCCAGGGGAGCTGACCTGGTCATGGACCCTTGATGGCATGGCCATGTGCACTCTCACTCCCGCAGCTCAGTTCCCTATCTGTAAGGCTTCCAGCCCTTTCAAAGTCTAGACCCCACTTAACCTTCAAACCACAGTTCAAATCCCACCTAAACATTTCTTTTGATGACTGCACCTCACAAGGACCCCTCCTGTGGTAGACTGCACCCCACTGGCCTTACCTGCTGTAGATGTCCCACTAGAATGTCAACTCCACAGGGGCAGGGACTTGGGACTGCTGGGTTCCTGATGCAGCCCCAGCCCCAGGACTGTGCTGGCAGGCTGTGAGCACTTAATAAATCTTTGTTCATGAAACAGACTAAGATTTACCAATTTCTTACAGGGTGAAATGGATAAAATCGAGTTTCTGGACCCATGGACCTGTGGGGCAGACTCCCAGGGAATTGCTGCCTGCATCAGCCCGCTGCTTAGGCTGTCGCCCTCATTCTCTCCTTCTCTCCATCACCTAAACCGAATCAGGCATTCAATAAACACACACTGACTTGAAATTGAATTGGATTCTACTGTCTCAGGTGAGCAGGACTTATTTTTGTCCCCGTGTCTCCATTACTGGTGAAACCAGCCCGGAGTGCTCAGAGAGCTCCCCTCCGGGTTGCTTTTCAGAGGCAGCACCCCCACCCCAGTCCTGCGTTCCCTCTGCTCCGTGCCCCCAGCACAGCTCCCAGCTCCCAGTCCTGGGGGGCGGGGTCTCTAGCACAGACTGCCCTTCGGCTGGCGTGTTTCCTGTTAGATGCAGGCCCGGGGCACAGCCAGCTCCTCATGAATACTAAAGAGGAGGAAAAGAGGCTGTGCTGCCTTCAGAATAACACCTTTACCAAGACAGCTGGCGAGCACCAGAATAAGAAACCTTGAACCCCAGGATTCCAGCCTCCTCTGCAATCTTCTACGTACCTATTCCCCCCTTTCAACACTTGCCTTTTTTCCGTCACTCTGACCTCAATAGTTTATAAGCTTATGAATTCTTTGCCAGCAACTCATTTAAAAATCTTCTTATCCTGTCTACTTAGAGGGAAAAAATAGTATTATTTGTGATGTTTCTTTTGCAGGATTTGGAGATGGGAAAGAATTCTAGGGCTTTGTATTAAGATCGCGTTCACCTTATATATTTTTAAGAGAACAATGTTCTACTGGCTGCAGACTTTGTTCTGACGTTGTCTGTAGTGACTCAAACCCAGAGGAAGCTTGAAGGGCTCATGGCTTAGTGCAGTGGTTCTGAGCCTGTGTTCAATGTCAGAATCACGGGGAGAGTGTGTGAAAATTGCCAAGGCCCTGATTTCACCCCCAGAGTTTTGGTTGGATGGGTTGTGGGTGGGGCCCTGGGCATCTGCATTCTAAATAAGCCTTTCTGGAATTCTGGAGCAAGCCAGGTTTGAGAAACCCTGAACAGGTGGCCTGAGGTGAACAGAGGGGCACAGAGTCAACTCAAACAGGGCAGTGGCCATAGAAATCTTTGCTGGGGCGTTCGAAGAGAAGGTCAGTGGTGGTGGGACCAGAGAGAACATTCTAGAAGGGAAGAGAAAGCCCAGAGGGGCTTCTTGCAGGATCAGGAGAGCAAGTCAGCTCAGGAAGGTTGCTGGGCCCAGATTCAAGCAGGAGACGGAGAACATACATGGGTGGGGCCTCTAAGACAGTGAAAAGGGAGCTGGGGATGAAGGTGACCACCAAGACCTGAAAGGGAGTTTCACTGGGGAGGGGCTGGGTGCTAAAGAGGATGGTATGATTTGTGGGAGAAGCCCTAGGATCCTGCAGAACTGAATTCCAGTCCTGAATCTGCCAGGAGCTCAGGGGAGGGGGTCTGGCTCTGGCCTCTAAGCGTTGGGCTCTCAGCGTCTTCATCCGTAAAGTGGGTGGATTTGGATCCAATGGTCTATTTCAGGAGTCAGCTAACCTTTTCTGTAAAGGGCTGGAGAGTAAATATGTCAGGCTTTATGGGCCCTATGGTCTCTGTTGCATCCACTCACCTCTGCCATTGTAGTGAGAGATGCCACAGACAATACAAAGAGGAAAGAACCAAGAACACTCTAGTCTCCAAATCTGATGCGGTGGTCATAGTTGGCCAACCCTGGTCTACTTGGTTCCTTCCTACTCCAAAATTCTTTGATTCTATTAAAATAGTCAGCTGCCTGGGGGCTCAGGAAGAGTCTAGTGTGTGGAGCAGGGAAGTGCAAAGAAGCACGTGAAGGTGCTAGCGATGGAGAGAGAAACCTTTGAAGGGATTAGAAAATAAGACCCTCCCACAGAGAGGTCGTGGTTGGATTTGGGGAATACTAAGCCGCAGGTGTACCCAGAGGTACTATCTGCAAGGATAAAACCCAAACCCTGCCATGCGTGTGTAACTGATGCAGTGTAATCTATTAACGTCATTTATTCATCCAACTATCCTTCAGGGAGCACCCACATTGCAGGCACGCTTCCAGGGACCGGGGATCGACAGGAGGACAGGACTCACCAGGTCCCTCCTCTCCTAGAGCTAACAGCCTAACAGGGGAGACAGATAGGAAACAAACCAACAAGTAATAAACCAATTATAAATTGTGATCAGTGCTGGGGTGTGAGGATAGAGAATAAGCAGGGTTGAGTGGGTGGTGGGAAGGCCTCTCTGAGGAGGTGACAAAACCTCAAAGATGTGTAGGAACTAGCCATATGTGAATGTGTGTGTAGACGGGGTGAACATTCCAGGCGGCAGTAACAGACTGTGCAAAGGCCCTGAGGCAGAAACATCTTACAGCTCACCAAGAGCGTTCACATGCATCCTCTCCTATTTGTCCCTCCAGGGCAGGCGAGTGGCCAGGACATATGTAAGGAAGGATCACTATGTTAGGCTGAGAAATGGCCCCCAAACACATCAGGTCCTATTCCCTGAAACCTATGAATGTTGATGGCAAAAGACACTCTGCAGATGTGGCTCAGTTAAGGATCTTCATTGCAGTGGTGAGGTACGTGGACCATACACTAAAGCTGGCAGTGAGGGCATCCACAGGGCTCTGGAATTCATCCAGATGCCTACACTGCCTTGTTCCTGAGGTCAGAGACAATACCTGATGATACGGGCTGAGTGTGTCCCCCCAAGATTCCTACATCGAAGGCTAACCCCCAGTGCCTCAGAATGTGACTATGAAAATGAGCCCATTAGGG